TCACAGAATCAAGTACGGGTTCAGCATGACAAACATACAAGTTGTTTTTCATCTCAGCTTTGAAAACAACTAAACAACCCTTCACAACTTTCATGATTCCCTTTCCCCATTTTCCTTTCAAACCCTCATTTTCAAGAGAAGCACAAGATAGCAAATTACAGCACAGCTCAGGAACATGCCTAACATTCTTCAAAGTAAGCACATAACCACAAGAAAACCTAAGGCACACATCTCCTATTCCCAGCACATTGCATTTCTTCTTATTTGCTAAAGACACAAAGCCATGCTCAATCTCTCTATAGTTTGAAAAAACATTTTTCAAAGGGGACATGTGAAAACTACAACCAGAATCTACCACCCAATCTGATTTACCCAAAGAATCAGATATCACAGAACTCAAATAGTCATAATCACATAGATTTTTCATCATAAAAACATCACCTAAATCATCTACACACGTAGTCAAATTAGCTGGCTCACTATGCTCATTTTTCTTAGATTTAGGACAGTCTCTTATGAAATGACCAGGTTCATGACAAATAGCAACGCCTCGAATTAGACCTAGACTTAGATCTATGTCGTCTACTATTATCTCTACCCCTCACATGCAAAACTTCCTCGGATTTTCTACCCTCACCCATCTGTTTTAAATCTAATTCCTTACTCTTAAGACCATTTACCACAATGTCAAGAGTCACATTATCTCTACCATACTTAATAGCAGATTTCACATCACTAAAGGAATCAGGAATAGCATTTAAAAGAGCAATAGGGGAATAATCATCTATATGTTTATCACCACACAACTTAATATCCGAAATAAGTTTGGTAAAAACATCTAGATTTTCTTCAATATGTATAGACATATCTAGTCTAAATTTGAAGAACTTCTCAAGTAAAAATATCCGGTTAGGCAAAGAGGTCTCAGTATACAGTTCATTCAATTTATCCCACAGAATTTTAGCACTCTCTAAAATTCCAACTTTTCTAATCACGGAGTCAGATAAGTTCAAATAAATCACAGAACATGCATTTTCATTCATTTCAGCCCTTTTCTCTTCTGTGTCAGAAATTAAATAGGTTTCGCCAACTGCTTTAAAACATTTTTGTTGTATTAAAATACATTTAATTTTTTGCTTCCAAATGCTAAAATCAGATTTCCCATCAAATGGAGCCATACCATACTGATTATAAGCAGACATTTTCACAGAGAAAAATAAGCAACAAAAGAAAATGTAAATTTCGCTGAAAAACAATTTAAATATTTATAAGGCTACAACTATACGGAGCAACTAGCACGAACACGTGGGGAGTATTAATGAGCACCAAACTCAACTTCAAACCCCTTGTTCTTCCGTATAAGCACGAATAAATAATAAATTTTCAGCACAGAACAACACAACAATTCAAACAATTTTAAAAGCAGTAATAAACCTAAAATATCATTTCTACACAAATAAAAGATTAAATCACTACAAAAGCGATAAAAGGGATTAAAGATAATATACAGGAGCGAAACCCTAGGAGAGGCGTTTCGACCTTACCCACCCAATTAAAATTGGGATTTTTTTTGTTCCAGTGAATGCGCGCAGCAACACCTAGAAACCCAAAGCCTTCGTCCTTGTGCTTCGCTTTCTGCGTCCAGGAGTCCAAGGCCAGCAACCTCCAGCGACGGCTTCAGCGACGAGATTCCAGGTCTCACAACCTTCCTCCTGCGACGGGATTCCAGATCCGGCCGGCCTCGAGCTCAGCAAACCAGCGACGAACGGCGAGCTCTCTCTCCGGCGACGACTCCCAGGTGGACTGATGCTTCAACGGCGAATGATGAACACCGGCGACCTCGAACGACCAGCTACTCAAGCGGTGGGCCTTCCTTCGAACGGAGAAAAACAGGGATGACCGGCGACTTCCACAAGCTTCAAATCGACGGCGGCATGTGGCGGCGTAGCTCCAGCGGCAAACAACCCACGAGCCCCGGAATCAACGAACGACTCTCGACGAAGCAATCGGCGTGCTAAAGAACAACGGCCCAGATCCAACAAAGCTTCCAGTAGCTTTTACCGGCGGAGGACGGCGGCGGACGGTGGCGGACGGCGGCGGACGGCGGCGGAGGGCAGAATCCGGCTCTGATACCACTGTTGGGAGTCGATTTCTTTCCGGCTCAGGTCTCCAACCCTTTAGCTAGACTCAAACACACCACTTTAGGCTAGACTCACTCCACCACTCAACATGTTTACACTCCCAAGGTTCCACACAAAGGACATCAAGGAAGGAGGAGAACACTCAGCTCTCAACTCTCTAGTTTTACCTCTCTCACACAAAGGAAAAAGGAAGGCTCTGCACTCTTTAGTTTCTCACGCAGGACAAGTCTCAAAGGAAGAGGCTAAGGGTTCAAATAATAGTATTCTGGTCACTTGACAACTCACGGGAGAGGCTAAGACAAAAGCTCATGGGCCAACATAGACAAGAATGCAGCGGACAACACGGAAAGGGGGCCAAGCATTAGGTAAGTCAACAACCAGAAGAGAAACAATTATCGGAATGGAACTGTGGGAGTAAACATAGGGTGCAAGTCAATAATAAAATGGAAGGGAGGCCTTGGTAGGACCAATACCTCCAAAAGTATATAACTTTTGTATTCTTAAAATGCGTCACTGAAATACCATTCTCAAAGAGTAGTCGACAACGTTTTTTTAAATTGATTTTCCACACTTAAAAATTGTTGTTGTTTACTATTAGATTTTTCTATAACAAAACCATTCCCGTTTTTCTTTTCATTTTTCCGCGCGAATAATTTGTTTAGATGGCTTTTATATTTTTCCTTAACCGCATGCCTCTCTAAAAAAGGAATGTTTCGCTTCTCATAGTCTCACCAGAGCTCTGGGTTTACAATGGATAAGTCAATCAGATTACTTCTCAAATGGAAATGGTTGGTTTCTCATCAAATAGTCAACTACGACACTTTAGGGGGTGTTTGGGTCTGATTCTTAAAACTGCTTCTACTCTTTTAGGGAGCAGAAACAAAAGCTGTAGTGTTTGGGTGAAAGTGCAGAAGTGATTCTGGTGCTCTAATTTACTCCTAGAATCAGTTTTTTCAGAAGTTGGGGGTGACCAACTTCTGAAAACTGATTCTGATTCTGCTTCTGCCTTAAAAAAGAAGTAGAAGCAGAATCAGTTCCAAACACCCCCTTAATATGCATCTCGTTTCCTCACAGATCGTTGTCAACATCACCATCACCGTTGCACGCCAACCATTCTCTCTGAAGATGAAATTAAGAGCCCATTGGCAACACTAAAATCGGCTGAATCAGCTGATTCTGCTGAAATTGATGGAAAATTTATATTTAAAATATATTTTATTATTAAAATAAATAATATGAAAAATATCTAAAATGATCATCTACAGTAACTTCAGCCAATACATCCAGAAAAGTAACTTCAACCTTATTTTTTTTATTACACAATTCAGCGCGTGAAATCAAAAGTTACGTGTTTAGTTAAAAATTGGTTGATAAGCCCGATAAGCCAAAAAACAGAGTCGCTAAACATACTGATCTAATTCTTGTAATTTAGAATGTTTTGTAATCTAGCAAGTTTAGAGATTTCAATTTGCTCTATTTATTTACAAAATTTATTAGAAAACTTGATTCAATCACACAGGCCATGACTATTAAAATATGACTTTTAATGTGATGCAATAAAAGAGAAAATGGCTTTATTTACATTTTACACACAAATTGGTTTACCAAGAATCTAGGCTATAAAGAAAGCAAATTTTCTTATCCACATTTTTAATTCATCACGGGGATTATATATATACACCTAAAAGTGAAGAAACGAAGGACGATCATATCTTTCGCTTGTCAAGAGTTAGGGAAAAACTCGCGTGTCAAGAGTGATGCAATGCGGACCAGCTTTTATTTTGCATTTTGATTTAGTGCAAGCTCAAGAAAGAAAGGATAATCATGGCTTCTATGAGTGATCTAGAGCAGTGTTGTCCCATTTCAGCAATTGAGGGGGAGGTCGAAGGGTTGGGTTTTAGCATATCGAGATGGATGGAGTGTGGTGGTGGTAGTGGAGGCGGCACGGATGATGAGTAGACGAGGAGCGATGAAGGGCTGAGCAAGGGAGAAGACAGATCAGTGATCTGCCCCCCCCCCCCCCCCCCAACCACACTGCCTTGGAACGATCGAGGTGTTATGTTTATTTATGTTGCTCTGTTCTTCATTGATGGGCAACGGTATTTAATTTTATCGTATCGTTGATTATCTTGGCAACAATTTATCCCGTTGATTTTTATTTTTCTGTTCTCAACCATTGTCTACGATAATGATTGACAATTGTGCTACATATTACTATCATATCATTGGAAGGATCTATATGGTCAGTGATTGTTGTGTTACACTCATTTGGTGGTTAGCGATTTGTATTGTTTTTTCGGTTGTGAATATTTCTTAGTCATATAGTTTGTAGTACGTGCTAGTTGATTACGTATAATTGTTGCAAGTGCTGGTCTTTTTGAGTTAGTTACGATTTAGGTTCCAATGATAATAGTATAAGCAGTTTTCCTTCAAAAAAAAAGTCTAGGTTATATAAAAACAAATTTATATTTATATTATATTTGTGTATAATTCTTTTCTAGTGCTTATGGCTCTCTCGCTTTACATTTGGCCGGATTAGCCTCACTCCTACAACAAAAGAGATACTGAATTGGAAAAGGCTAAAAGATGCCCACTGCCAAAAGAAAAAGTGTGATCATCCTAAAGAGGTCATCTTTAGCGAGTCCAGCTCCTCTCCATCTTTTTCCTCTCCATTTTCTATTCATTTTTTTCTTCCTATCTATCGCTACCTTTTTTTCTATCTTACTCACCAACATACTTCACCATAATTTCTCTCCTCTCTATCTCTCTCCAAGTGGAAGCATCCAGTTAGTGGAGAGGATCTGTGCTCATCTTTAGCTGTTGACAAAGTTAAAGTGTGTGTATTTTATACTACGTATATAGGATAAATATCAAGTGCCTTGCCCGGCAAAGTTTATTTCAGCTGCCATAATATATTCTTTCAACTAATTAATTAATTTCCTTCTCTAAATTGTTTCGACCACCTCCTCAAAAGCACATACACAGAGAAAAGCAGCCCAAATTAACAATAAAAAGGAAAAATAATGTACCCAAAGAATTTAAGTCACAATTCATTACGATACACGCTTTCGTCTGTGTAAATTTGTGATGGCATATCGACAAATCCGCTCTACTTCCCACCTGCAAAAGTTCAAAATAAATAATGGTCAATATATATCAAATTATCAAAGTTACACCTAATATAGTTAACAATTTTATATTTTCGGGCATTATTAATAGGAGGAAGGTGAGAAGTAGGAAATGATTGACGAAAATATAAAGTTAGTTACGGAAAATTTAATATTCAGATTTATTTGAAAGAATCTAACTATGCTTAATTAATAAAGTGAAAGTATCAAGTGTGTTTATCAGAAGAAAAGAAAATTAGGACGTACCTTTGGAACAACAAAGATTGCTCAAAACAGAGAGGAGAACGACCAGTACGGCCACACCAGCAACGATCCCAATTATTATTGCAAGTTTTCTCGCGCTTTCTCCGTCTGCGGGCATGAGTAGAGTATATTATTTCTTCACTAATTATGAAAATGTCTTTTTTAAATGATAGTGGAACATAAACCATTGGACAGAATAATGACTACATTACTATTTTTCTCAAAATAAAACTCATTGACATATATAATTAAAAAAAATACTTTAATTTCATTCTTTTATTAATAAATAAAAAATATTGTTTGTAGGGTACATATTTATTTCACTGAGTTATACCGTTTTCTTGAATGGTCATTAGTGATACCGTTTTCTTGAATATTCTTTTAGTAATGTTTTCAGGAAAAAATTATCTAAAACGAATCAATTTCATAATATATTTATCACTAAATACTTTAAATAATTATCTAAAGTATTAATAATTTCCATAACTATACAAATTATCTTAATTTAAGTTACTTAAAACCCTAAACTAATTAAAATTATTATAATTATTTACACCGCACCTTATCCTATATGTATGTAAGTAATTCATAAACATTAAAAATTTGTATAATGAATAAAACTAACAGTAAAAACATAATCGAAATAAAAACAATCACCATCAAAACTAGTTTATTGTTATGGTCACGTTTCCACAAGAACTATAGACAATAGTAAGATAACTGGATAAATTTTAATACATTAATGACAACAAATATAATGGAGGGAGTACATAAATGATAAATGAATGTGTGTGAGATTGTATGTGTGTGTATGTATGAGTTCAAATAAAAAAAAAACATTCTTCATTAAAAGTAAGAATATATATGATGATAGGTACATTGTAAGATTTTCAATGTATCAAATGGTTTTTCAACCTTACTAAAGAGTGAGAATAGATAAATTCTTTCTTATGACCGAATAAATTATATTCGTATAAAAACGGTGATCAAGGAGAATTAGGGTCTCTTTGGTAAAGCTTTAATTCGTTGAATCTAATGGAGAGGTGGATTGCATCTCCACCTCACTAGGCCAAATGCACACCCTTTTAGTAAATGTGATCTTCAATGCAACAAAAAAACGGTGATAGACCTTGGGTCTCACCTCACCAAGTCAAAATGCAATGATTATTCTTTTTGAAGTTTCTTTTGCATTGGAGTAAGAAAAAAATAGACCCCTTGGATTTGTTTATTTTGCTCCACAAGCTCTATAGACCCTTTGCATTTGGATGACACATAAGCACCAATCCACCCTATGGATTGTAGATGCTCTAAGAGCATCCACAATGGAGGGTGAAATTAGGTTAAAAAACAAAATTGATGGTAGTTGACCCCCACTATGGAAGATCACCATGTGATCGGTTAAATCGGTTAAATGGGAAGGTTAAAAATGAGTTCTGAGCAAACTTTTGTGACTAACCTATCACAAAAGGCCATGTGGCTTCTCTTCCCCATACACATAGCCACCAACCTTATAAAATATCCCAAACTCTCTAATTTCATTTATTATTCATTAAATTTAATTTATTGTAAAAAAAATTATACCAAAAAATTAGATTTTTCCCCCTCTATAAATAGACACCAATGAATGATATGTTTAGTCACTTCAAAATTAATCACTTCTTTCTCTCTTGCATCTTATTTTATCTGTATAGATTAATTTTCCTATGAAAATGGATCAACTCGTTTTCAAATTATATAAATTAATAACGGTGGAATATATCAAAAATATGAAGAGAGAATGTACAAATTTTAAATAACCTAGATCATATAGTAAGGGAGGTGCGATACGTTAGAAGGGATTAAGTTTTTTATGAGAAATGATGAGGAAGAGAGAAGGGTCAAAAGTCATCAATATTGTGGATGCTCTTGGGGGCTAAGGTGGCGAAAGATTGGTGTGGGGTCACTGGAGCTGCTTTTGAATAAAGAATCAAATAGGTAAATTAAAGGTCGGCGATAAGAGGAAAGCAAGTCTTCATGAGTCGTCGATCTTGTCTTGTTTCTTTTCTTACTAAACGAAAGTAGAAAGTCGAGTATAAAAGCATATTCCATTCTTTTTATGCAACTTCTTTTCGGGTGGGATGAAAAAGAATTAATAATCTTTTATGCAACGGAAAAGTATATTCTTTCTAACTGATTGTGCCGATGCTTCTTTTTTAAAATAGAAGTAGAATTAGAATCGGTTTTCAGAAGCTGATCTCTCCCAACTTCTAAAAAAACTACTTTTGGGAGTAAATTAGAGCACCAGAACATTTTTGCATTTTCACCCTAACACTCCAACTTCTTTCTTCTAGAAACATAAGTTGTTTTAAGAATAAGATCCACACACCTCCTCAATACATATATATATACACACACGCTATTTGTCTCTAACGCCCCCACCTTATTCCCCACCCAAATGGTGGATCCTATCAACCGCCCAAAGATTTCTATATTGTCATCCAATGGAATAGTCCAGAAATAAGTCACCATACGATCAAAAATAATGAATGAAATTCTCACAATATCATATTGCATATGTAGAGTCGTGGAGATAAATCTGAAACATTAGACCAAGTGTCTCACTCAAAAACTATTAAACGGTCTCTATAATCGAACAAATGTGTGTTGACAAAATTAGCTCTATTGTAATTATTTGACAAAAAAAGACCAAAACCTTTTTAGTTAAATATTGATAATTTAACCTTGAAATCTCAAAAATATTCAAAAGTCATGTAATGCTAGACATGGCAAGTTTTTTTAGATTTTTGGAAGACTAAAATGGAAAATTTAAAAGTAATTCAGATTTCTAATGCAAGTTATAACTTTCCAAATTACTACTTGTCTACCTCCGTATTCCTAAGATTGGGACAAGAGGATGATGTGTGATTTTTAAGGAAAGTGAAATTGTGTAGCTAATATTGATTTGATATACTTTGAATAAAGTAAAAATGCATTCTGATCACCCAATTATTAGAGAAGGAATTATAGTACATTTTTCTGCAATTTCGTATTTAATCAAGTTGACATGTCACATTTTCACTTGTACATTTACTTGAGCATAAATAACATTATCAAAACCAACTTCATTAATATATTGATATTTAACGAGAACCTATACTATACTACGGAGTATATTATACTATACATGTGAATTTATGTGTGGCCATATTAGAGCCTGTTTGGTAACACGAAAATCGGCTTATTCAGCTGATTCTGCTGACATTTATGAAGTTCTGGCTGAAGTGGCTGCATTGGCTGATTCTGCTGATTTAAGGAAAAAAAAATTATAAAATGTTTTATTGATAAAATAAAGAAAAAATTATATGTAAAAATAGCTAAAATGGTCATCTACAGTAACTTCAGCCAATAAAGCCAGAAAAGTAACTTCAACCTTATTTTTTCTGCTTATTACACAATTCAGCGCGCGAAAACAAAAATGACGTGTTTGATGAAAAAGTTGATTGATAAGCATGATAAGCTGAAAAATAGTGTAACCAAACGGCTGTTATTACAATCATATTCATATTTCTTGACCGTTGTAGGTTATTCCGGTTAGAAAGATTAATCCGCATTTGTTCAATCAAATCGGATACCTTAAATCTTAATTCACAAGTTGATTTAATTGGAATATAAGCTCCAATAACAAAAAGATATTTATATGAAATCGATTCATAATGTACGATGTAACATAAAACACTGTTATAAGAAACCTAAAACAAACAAAAATCCACCAACGGTAAAAGACGACGACCACCGTGCAAGGCGGAGGAACGGCTTACCGCTTTTTGGCGAGAATCCATGCTCCGAATAACGCGCGTAGCACTTGACCAAGTACACGTATCCCCACGAGGCGGACCCACACTCACTTTTCAGCCGTCCGATGGCTTCCGACAAACAATCCTGGCACGCCGATGAGTCCACGTCCTGCGTACACTGCGCCATACCCTGGACCCTCCCGTACCCGAACACCCGGAAGTACTGGCCCGCAGCCGATAGACCCGTCAGTACGGTGTACCGGCTCGTCGTCTCGTCCGAGCTGGACGAGACAGACGGCCCACACCTGTGGATGACCTCCGCCTTATCCACCGCCCCGAGAAACGAGATGTTGTCGTACTTCACGAAACACCCGTCGAGCTGCAACGCGCCGCCGGAGGTGTCCACGCAGAGCGACCCGAGCTGGCTCACGGCTCGGGCCACGCAGCTCCGGCAGTCGTAGGCGGCGAGGTCGCCGCGGCACTGGTAAAGACTGTAAATAACGTCGGGCTGGGTCGACCCCGGGAGAGAAGTCTTGAATTTGTTGAAGCTGACCGAGTCGGCCGAGTTGACCAGCGATGTGAGTGCCGAGTTTACGTTCGACTCGTAGACCGTCCCGGGGTTGAACTTTGTCGGCGAGCAGCCGCCGTAGACGAATGCGTCGATGCGGGCGGCACTGGATTGGGTGATACTGTGAAGTAAAAACAGAGGAAGCAAGAGAATGAGAGCTTCCATCCCTTTTTGTTAGTGAAGAAGAGAGATTGAAAGGTGAGAAAGTACTTAAGGTATTTTAGAACAGGAGGGGGGATAAAAGGAAGAAACAGTACGTAAGAATAGATACCTTAGCTTAGAGGGAATAACAATTTACATGTTACTGCGTTTTGTTAATACTACAAACTTATCATGACTTCATTACTTAGGTCACGTTTGGGAGTTTCAAGTTTGAGAGGGGGCTTAGCTTGGAAGGTTAATTGGGGAAGGGGTGGATAGTTATTTTTTTATTAATTAATTTTTTTATTAATTTTATTATTAATTATTTTTTTATTAAATACGTAATTTTGAATTTCATGCATTGAGTTATGTAATAATTAAAAATTCAAAATACGTAAGATTGAAGTTATATTTCTGACCGATTTGACTAAAGTTACAATAGATGATGATTTTAGTATTTCCATTTTTTTCTTTATTTTAATAATAAAATATATTTTTAAAATAATCTTTTCAAAATTCAAAAGAATCAGTCATTTCAGCCAGACGTTATTCAATTTCAGCAAAATCAACCGATTCATCAAATTTTAGAGGCCGTTTAGTAACACTTTTTTCGACTTATTAGGCTTATCAGCCAACTTTTTCACCAAACACGTAACTTTTGTTTCCGCGCGTTGAATTGTGTAATAATAAGAAAAAGTAAGATTGAAGTTACTTTTCTGAATGTATTAGCTGAAGTTAATGTAGGTAGATGACCATTTTAGCTATTTTACATATAATTCTTTCTTTATTTTATTAATAAAATACACATATTTTAAAATAATTTTTTCTTAAATCAGCAGAATCAGCTAATGCAGCCAATTCAGCCAGAACTTCATAAATTTCAGCTGAATTAGCTGATTTTCGTGTTATCAAACGGGTGCTTAATGTTATCAAAAGGACTCTAAATCTGTCTTCTTATTTGGGACTTAAAATTTGAAAACAGAGACTATAGATGAACTATAACTAAAATTTAAATCACTTTAAAGATATGACAAAATTCAAATAGTTGAACTTATATTTATTTTAAGGGATATTTTGATTTTGCACCCCATTTATTGTCTAAATTAGACTTGGCACCCTGTTTTTGAAATATTTAGTATTTGCACCCCAACCCGTATGAAAAGACTAAAATGCCCTCCAATAACAATTTTGTTGGCCTTCAACATATTCCTTATTGAGGGGCATTTTTGTCTTTTCATAAGGGATTGGGGTGCAAATACTAATGATTTAAAAAACGGGGTGCAAAGTTTAATTTGGCCAATAAAATGGGGTGCAAACTCAAATTATCCCTTATTTTAAATTAAGGTAAAGTTATCAATTGGATTGTTTTTTAAGCTGGTCAGAAGAACCTTCCAAAACAATTCCTTCCATTTTTATTGTGCTTATATGGTGAATTTCTGTCATCTGGTGGGAATCATAACTACGAAAGAACTATTGAATCATTATTTCCATGGAGTCTATTTAGTTTTTGAATTCATACAATGGATCGCACACTAGTGAAAAAACCTCCATTTGTGGCAGTATTAAGATCATAAGCGCGGCAGTTTTGACCGGCACAACGCTGCTCCAAAATTGACTCGCGCCACACTTAATTTTTTGGGAAGGAAGGACTTAGATTGATATCACAACAATCACATAAAGGTTAAAATAACAAAAAAAAAAACCATCTTGAATCGGACTCAGAGTTAATCACCTTTGACAAAGCAACATAACTCACTGATCCTAAATTGGGCATAACTGAGCCAAAGACGATTACCACATATCTCTCATCACCCAATCCTAATGCAGTCTTACAACAATAAAAGTAACCAAACAGAAAAATAAATAGTCTGGTTTTGAAAAATAAATCGCAAGAAAAAAGTAAAATTAAAAAGATGCTTCCAAACCCTAGACTCTTTTGCACTCCATGGCGGCGGTTCAGGAGGGGGACGCTCCAGCAGTACCGTAGCTTCTTCCTCGCCTTGCCCCTTATGCATCATGTTTTCTACCAAGTCTCTTCTGTCGCTACCAAACACAAATGACCTCGAATCCAGCTCTGTTCCAGCCTCTACCCCACGCTTCGACCATGACCTGTGGCCGTCGGAGGCATCCATCTTCCGTCACTGCACAATCTTTGACCGCTAGAGACCAAACATCATCTTCCCTCAGCTCAATCTCGCTAAGTGAAAGAAGAAGAAAAGCCGTACAATTGATGCATGACGGAAGAAGAAACCTTGTACGCCTAAGCCCGCATACGGTGACCGTTCCTCATTACAAACGATAGCGGAGAAAAAACCCTAGCGGTGGAAACCCACCCTAGAGAGGGATAGAGCCGCTCGTACGCGTCACGGTTGTTTTTATAGCTTACAATTGCCGCATATCGAAAAATAAAAAAATAAAAAATAAATTAATTTGCAGCGATCATTAAGTAAGAACCGCCGCTTATTAGCTATCCAACCGGCGTTTTACATAAAAAAATGTGTGGCGGTTTTGACGTAACAACCACTACATTTCTACTATTTTATTATTTTTGTTTTAGAAATTAGTTCAAAATCACTTTTATTTTGGACAAACTGCCGATAATACATCATTAACACATCATCTTCATCAAAGTTTGCATTAAAGTTATGGAAAATTCTACCGTACATATGATAATTTAGCAGGTACCGTACATGTGCCTAGTTGGACCACTCAAAACATTACGTATGGATTCATTAAACACGTATTCTATTGTTTTGTATTTGCATATCAATCCCTGAGATAAAGCTTTAGGTTTTGACGGAAGTAGGGTGAAATTAACGGAGAACATCCCGTCTCTGAAACGAAACAAAGAGGGCGCTGCGGTGGAAGATCAGACGAACCCAAGGAGAAAGGGGAAACGCAAGGAGAAAGGGGTAAGGGTATTTTCTATTCGAATTTGCTGGCGGCGCGCAAGTAAGACTACGAGTTTCCTTTGCTCGGCGGCGGCGGCCGCACTTCCTGGGTTCAGCCGATGATGGAGGTAGTGTTTCATCGCTAGCGACTCTCAACTTTTCATCTGCAATTCTTCTCAATTCTGCTTAGGGAGAATGTTGTGGTATGTTAATTCTTTATATTAGGTTTGAATTATGCTATTTGACAGCCGTTCTTGCGGTTCATCTTGTTGTTCTTGAAAATTTAGCATATCTGCTCAGTATTTGAACATGAAGATTTGTGGTTGACCGGTTGTATTTGTGAATTCTTAATCTTTTGCTAAAAAGCATGGTCCGTTGTGTTCTCTCTTTCTCGCTTGTAATATACATGCAAATCTGAAACTTACTATATAAGTGCAGGTTGTGTGTGCTATCAGTCAATGAAAACCGTTTTTCAATGATGAAGTATAAGTTTTTTGCATATCTCACTTGTACAATTGTACTACTGCTTAGTTAACCTTTTATTTGCTAGATACGTGATGTTTTAATTGTTGTAAACCTAGCAGTGCTAATATTTACTGTAGTTGTATTGGATTTTGTTGTTTCTTTTGCAAAACAAGATTCTGCCTGATATTTGAGTTGTGTTCTCTTAATGGCTTTATTTGAACTTCTGGGGGGAAAGGGGTTATTAACATTTTGAAAGTTGGATATGGCCCTGCTCATAAGTGATTATGTGTAAAGTTTCTTCTCAGTTCGATTAATGCCAGATATCTAATCGTTAAGAAATTAATAATTGGTCTATCCCTTGCTTAACTTTTCTGCTCAGACCTTTTTACCAAAATGATGCAAAGACCCACTCCAGAATAGGATCTGGTGCTTCTAGGGCTAAGACCCACTCCAGAACTCATCCCCCTACCCCTTCCTTTCACTGTGTACTGCAGCTCTTCCAAACTAGCCATACACTTATCAACCTTCACAAAGAAAAAAATGAGTGGACTAACTAACCATAACCCTTAGGGCAGGGGCTATATGACGGTGAATGAGAAAAATATTGTTCTATTGACTTTTTCATGAACTAACTTGGTCATCATGATACAGTTAAGTATTCATTGAAATGGTGGGAAAAGAGAGAACAAGCTTGCTCCAAAAAACTTGCTTTCCCATCACAGTTTTTAATTTGCATTTTTCGAGGAAAAAACCAAACATGAGAATAATACACTTTTTACAGCTATGAAACTTTCATACACTGTCCTCATTTATAAGATTTTTTATTTGCATATATAACCGAACTGCATTAAACAAATCAGAGAAGTAATTCAAGAATTACTACTATGATTTTACACTGCAGATAAGAGTTTGATTACTTTCAATCATAAAACTAAGGTAAACCTTTTTTAGGTTACTTGTGCAAAAAAGAGCTCAGATGTAAGTACCTCAGCCAACATATAATAACATTCCTCAGAGGCTCAGAGACCCGGACGACACTCAGGAAATGCACTCCTGCTACCGCCAGCCCATGAAAATCCTATGACCATATATGCACCGCCTCCATTTTACCTTGGGACCTTGGGACAATCATACCATCTCCGATAATCTCTAGATCTGTAAAACTTCTCATAATCTTAGGACCATATGTCTCCCATACTTTTACTCCCTATAAGCCTACTAACAATAGAAAGTTTTTCCCCAAAAATATACAAGCCGAGGAGGAAGCTAGAATATTCATTGTCGTTCCCATCTTCATTAGGTAAGCCTGGAACAAGATAGCAGCCATCCAATGATCAGTGTGAGCTTTCTGTCCAATGATTTCACCCAAAAGCACAGATGGAACACATTGTATCCCATCTGATTTTTCCCCATTCTCCATAAAATCAAGCAAAGAGACGGTTTTGGTCCCTCCATTGACACTATCTGAAGTAATTCTCCCCTTGTTGTTTTCAGATCTTAAAGAGCCACTGCCATTACCACAAGCTTCCTTAAGATCACCTCTTTTGTCCTCACACTTATCATATATATCCACATGACTGGAATAGGTATATCCATTGGTTAAGAATTTGAAATGTCATGTTTAATGCTTATATTGTATGATTCACTTGCAAGCTGCCCATAGCCACACTTGTCCAGAAGAGGACGGATTTTTGCCTGGTATTCAGTTCCCACTCTGGAAATCAGTTCAGGATCTTCAAAAATATAGTTTGATCAAGATGATCTCTCAGATGGGTAGACTTCAGTAGATTTACTTGTGCCA